TCTGGCCATGAAAGCTTACGACAATACAGCAGAATCAATAATAATAATTCATAATGGTGTACAGCCCCATCCCTCTGAACAAGTCTATCTGAAATGGGGCAAAAAAGGAGAGAACGAAATAGGCATCGCTGTTGTACTAAGAGGAAATGATCCCCTGTTCTGCCTCCCAAGGCTGCCTACCCGCTGGAAGGATTATAAAGGATATTAACAATATACATGTACAGCACATGGCATTAACAAATGTGAACATAAAATCCTGTGGTGCTAAGGGAGCTCAACTTTGGAACAAAAGGCTCTAAAGGGTAGTAATGATCAATGATTTACATCCACTAGGTGGGACACAGACTGAACAATAGCTCTTTGAATTAGGCTCCAAGATATTAGAATAGGGAAGAAAAGGTTCAGAAGCATTTCAGATAACTTGAAGAAATAAAACCAGCTCGCCGGATCAGAACTGGCTTAACCTACAGGAAAGCCCAAAGAGATATGAAAAAACAGGAAAAGGGAATTCATTTCAGTTTTCAAGTGTTGGGCTATAGAAATCCAAGTATGCAGGCAGGGGATAATATAATAAGCCTGTTTACTGCTAATTTTTCTTGCTAAGATTTAGTAGTTTCCCTCCCAGATCAACCCCAATCTGGGTAAAAGGGGAAAGAATCCCAAGCAAAGAAAGAAAGAGGAGACTGCATTAGTGGCTACAGCGTGGAAGGAATGGACGCAAAAGAGATATGTGTTCAGGTCCAGAATAAAGAATGCTTTGCAACCAGGTAGATGTGAGCCTTCTATAGAGAAGAGTCAAAATTCATAGGGTAGACATGCTGGTAGAGTAAGCAAAAGAGGAAAAGTGAACCACAGGGCATTCAAAGAGAAAAGTGCTAGTTCTGACACCATGGGCACAAGAATACAGTGAAGGAAAAATGCACTGGGCTACTTAAATTATATGCACAACATTATTTGGGTGGAGAGAGGACTGCAGGAGTGGAAAACTACTGCTAGTATGCAACACAGAGTCCAGAGTTTACAAAGGCAATGACCGGCAGGGCTCAACAGTGAGACACAAAGTGCTAAATCTGAAATGTGATGTGGCACAGGGACCTCAGTAACCAGAAAGGTGCAAAACAGGTTGCAAAGTGCCTTCTAAATGTGGGCTCTCAAGAAGAGGATAAAGAGCAGCTCCGAGTCAAAAGGGTCAAGTTTGTGAGATACAAGCTATTAAGCCAAGGCAAAAAAGACTTGTGATTGACAAGACGCAAGGTCCGGAGTGCATGGTCCATATGTAGCATGCAAGTGATGTGGAAATCTCAGAAATAGATGAGGCAGAGATGTCAAGAACTTGCAGTGATGGAAGAGAAGCAGTGCTTTATTTGCAAATGTAGACTCAAATCTGCATGAAAACTATCAACCTCCAAGGCACAACTTTGTGACCTGTTTCCAGATGTATGAAGGCCTGCTATAATGAGGCCTTTCTGACTACAAATGTGACAAGAGAGGTATGGCAGAAGTATAAGGTTATACTCTTAAAGGAGATGGGTATTGTGACATAAATTGGGAAGAAAGAAAAGTTATAAGGATACAGTAAGAAGGCATAAAGCCTACAGAGGACATTATTGCTCCCCCCATCCTTTTTGAGAACAGAAAAGAGTGGCTCCTGTCACACAGTGAACAGCTGCACCACAGGCAGAAATTCCACAGGTGTGGTGCTAATGCTAACCTTCTTCTTTCCCAAGCACTAGAACAAAATGAAACATGAACTGTCATGTTTCTGTGCATTATGCAGCTATTGAAGGTGCCCATGGGAGAGGGTAGCTTTACAACTGAACTGACATGAATTGAGCATTGAGAGTACAGGCCAAGTGAATATGAGAACCAGAGTCTGACAAGTAACAAAGGTGTCCAATTTGCAACCCATCTTTTCCTCCTGATCCCCCAAGCTGCAGTGACCAAACTGGGGTGAGAAGCAGTGCAGCAAATGCCAGTTGAGGAACAAGGCCAACTCTTTCATGGAGAAATCACAGGACACTCCAGCTGCAGATAAAACACTCTTGCCCCATCCCACCATCTTTTCCTTCCAACTGTCCTTCCAGCATACCAAATCACATAAACTAACAATGGGAAAGGCTTAGTCCTAGATTACAGGCAATGTTTGGTCATTGAGATTCAACCAGGAGATTCCTCCAACCCACAACTAAGTGGGTAATCAGGTATGGAAGGTGTTAAGTAGCCTAGTGGGCAGAGGAAGTTTGCCAAGGTGGGTAATCAGGTATGGAAGGTGTTAAGTAGCCTAGTGGACAGAGGAAGTATGTCCAAGAAAGCTCCTTCCATACATATACCCAAGTAAGAATGTCTTTAACTCAATGTTGTGGATCATGGGAGTTATAACTTGGTGAGGCACCAGGCAATCTTGGGAAGAGAAAACTAAATGCTTGTCAAACAACAAAAGAATTGAACCATGGCAGGTAAAGTGGTGTCAAACTGGAGATGACCTTGGGCCAGGCACTATTATTGCTCAGCTCAATCTACCTGGCCTGGATGCTGGCCATGGAGACACAGAGATAATGCAAAGGGCTGCTCCTTGGAGAGAGGGATAAATAGAAAAAAGGGAGAGGGAGGTAGAGGGGAGATTGGCATGAAGTTATCATGAGCCAGTGATATTATTGCTCAGCCAAACCTCCCTGGCTGGGCATAATAGGTGTGATGCTTGGGGGGGGGGGGGGGGGGAGGAATGGAAAAGAAGGGAAGGAAGAAGGAGAGGGAGAGATTGGCATTAAATTACCTTGGACCAGTCATTATCATGGCTCACCCTAACCTACCTACCTGGCAGGGTTATTGGCAAGAGGGACAGAATACATAGGTGTGCTGCTTGGAGAGGAAGAGGGACAGTGAGAGAAAGAAAGAGAGGGGGAAGGAAAGAGAGAGGGTAGACATTATTTATTTATTTGCTGTACTTATACCCCACCCTTCTCACCCCCAAAGGAGGACTCAGGATTGCTTACAAACTATGGCAATAATTCAATGCCAGATTCAGACAATAACAATAGCAGTAAACACATATTATAGAACTGTAAACACACACACACACACACATATCAATAATAAATAATCTTTCAGATAATTAACATATAGAGGTCTAGCACCACGTTCCCTTGGTCCAGTGACCCATCTAAATAGGTGTGTGGCTTAGAGGGGTAGAGGAATAGAAAAGAAGGGAAGAAAGAGACAGACAGACAGAAAGAGAGAAGGTAGATTGGCACGAAGTTTCCTTGGTCCAGTGATCCACCTGGCAGGGCATAACAAATAGGTGTGTGGCTTAGAGGGATAGAGGAATAGAAAAGAAGGGAAAAGAGAGAGAGAGAGAAGATTGGTCCAGTGAGGGACTATTATTGCTCAAGCTAACCCAACTGGCAGGGCATAATAAATAGGTGCATGGCTTAGAGGGGTAGAGGAATGGAAAAGAAGGGAAGCGAGAGATAAAAAGTGAAAGAAAGAAAAAAGGTACATTGGCTTTTAGCTCCCTTGGTCCAGTGACTATTCATAAATAGGTGTGTGGCTTAGAGGGGTAGAGGAGTAGAAAAGAAGGGAAGAGAGAAAAAGAGAGGGGGGTATACTGGCATTTGGCCCCCTTGGTCCAGTGACTATTATTACTTAGGCTAACCCACCTGGGAGGGCAAAATAAATAGGTGTGTGGCTTAGAGGGGCAAGAGGAAGGGAAAAGAAGGGGAGAGAGAGGGGGGGGGGTAGAGAGACAGAAGGAGAGGAAAAGATTGGCATGAAGTTATTTGGGGCCGGAGACCATTATTGTTCCCTCCTGAATCTACCTGGCTGGGTGTAATAAATTGATGCTCTTGCTAGGAGAGGGACAGGAATAGAAAAGAAAGGATGAGAAAGGCATTCAGTTAGGATGATTGCTCCTCCTAAGCTACCTGGCAGGCTCAGCAGGGGGACAGAAGGATTGTGTATAGGTATGCTGCTAGGAGAGGAGCAGGAATAGAAAAGCAAGGAAGAGAAAGAGATTGGCGTTAAGGTATCTTGAGTCAGTCATGGTCATTGCTCCTCCGAACCTACCTGGAAGGGCTGTTGGCAGGGGTGCAGAAGGATTGTGTATAGGTGTGCTGCTAAGAGAGGGGCAGGAAAAGAAAGAAGAGAAAGAGACTGGCACTAAGTTATCTTGAGCCAGTCGTGGTTATTGTTCCTCTGAACCTACCTGGAAGGGCTATTGGCATGGGAGCAGAAGGATAACACATAGGTGTGCTGCTAGGAGAGGGGCAGGAGTAGAAAAGCAAGGAAGAGAAAGAGATTGGCGTTAAAGTATCTTGAGCCAGTCATGGTCATTGCTCCTCTGAACCTACCTGGAAGGGCTGTTGGCAGGAGGGCAGAAGGATTGTGTATAGGTATGCTGTTAAGAGAGGGGCAGGAAAAGAAAAGAAAGGAAGAGAAAGAGACTCGCAGTAAGTTATCTTGAGCCAGTCATGGTTATTACTCCTCCAAACCTACCTGGAAGGACTGTTAGCATGGGAGCAGAAGGATAACACATAGGTGTGCTGCTAGGAGAGGGGCAGGAGTAGAAAAGGAAGGAAGAGAAAGGTATCTTGAGCCAGTCATGGTCATTGCTCCTGTGAACCTACCTGGCAGGGTTGTTGGCATGGGGGCAGAAGGATAATGCATAGATGTGCATGGGCAAACTTCCAACTCCCACCATTCCTAACAGCCTCAGGCATGAGCAAACTTGGATCCTCCAGGGCAGGCATGGGCCAACTTGGGACTTCCCTCCAGGAGTTTTGGACTTCAATTCCCACCATTCCTTAAGCGGCTGAGGGGGAAAAGGAAAGGGCATGAGGCTGTTAGGAATAGTGGGAGTTGAGGTCCAAAAGCGCTGGAGGGAGGGCCCAAGTTGGCCCATGCCTGTGCTGGGAGAGGGGCAGGAATGGAAGACAAGCATGGGGTTCCCTGGCGGAGTGGTTGGCCATGGGGCCAGAGGGACGAGGGTCCGGCCCGTGCCTTACCTGGTGGCCTTGGGGGCGGGGGCGGCCGGGGGGCTGTCCTTCTTGCCCAGGACGCCGGGCACGCAGTTGGTGAGCTCGGTCCAGTCGGCGTGGAGCCCGCAGCTCCATCCGGTGGAGAAGCGGGAGAAGAGCCAGGTCTCCCTGCGGTTGGGCCGGTAGCAGGTGCACTTCTTCTGCCCGGGCCGGCAGTCGCAGGGCACCTCGAGGCGCACGTTCTGGACCAGGTGGCGCCCGAAGGTGGTGCCGCCCGTCTTCTGGATGTGGAGGAAGACGATCACGTCGTCGCCCTTCATGTCGAAGGCCAGGCGGCGCTCCAGCTCGCGGACCGGGAAGTAGTACTTCTTGACGTAGTGCGGGTCCGGCGTGGGGAAGAGGTCGGGCTCGGGCTCGGGCTCCGGGCGGGCGGCGAAGGCGGAGGCGGGCAGGGCGGCCAGGCTGCTCAGCCCCGGCCCCACGTACTGGTACAGGATCAGCATGAAGCACACCGAGCCCGCCAGCACCAGCAGGAACTTGCTGCTCCGCTCAACCATGGTCCTGCCGGCGCGCTTCATGTGGCACCATCGCCCTGGGAGGCAGGCGGGCGGGCGGCGAGGCCAAGGCGAAGGCAGGCGGGCGGCGGGCGAGCGAGCGAGGACGGCCACTCGCGCTTCCAAGCCGCCAGAAGGAGACGGAGGAACAGGAGGAGGAGGAGGAGGGGAAGCGCCGCATAAGGGGGATTCCCCTCTCTCTCCCCCTCCTCCTTTCCTTCCTTCCTTCCTTCCCCTCTTCCTCCCTCCCTCCTTCTTCCTCTCCTCTCTCCCTCCCTCTCTCCGTCTCTCTTTCCACTGAAATGGATTCGCTTTCCTTCCAACCCCGTCCCGCCTCTGCCGACGGGACTTGGTCGCCTCCTCCTTCTTTTCCTCCTCCCTTTTCTCCTCCTCCTCCTCCGCCTCTTTCTCTTCCTCCTCCTTCTCCTCTTTCTCTTCCTTCTCCACTTCCTCCGCCTCTTCTCCTTCCTCCGCCTCTTCTCCTTCCTCCTCCTCCCTTTCGTCTTTCACGCGCCGCCTCTCCTCTGCCTCCTCCTCCGTCCTCCTTCTTTCCTGCTCGGCTTTCTCTTTTTCCTCTTCCTCCTCTTCCTCCTCCTCCTGCTAAAGCCAAGCCCCACCATGATCCGAGCCCAGCATGCACAGCGACAGTAAAGGGAAAGCAGCAGTAAGCAGCAGCCGCAGACACGCCGTGCTTTGTGGAGACTCCTCTGTTGCAAGCGCCCGCCCGCAGGGTTTTTTCTTTCCTTTTTGGGTGCCTTTCTTTTCTCCCCTCTCTCCACACTCCTACTCCTTTTTGGAGTTCTACTTCTTCAGGCAGGAGGGGGTTTTTTCCCCTTCATGCGGGACACAAAACGAGGAGGTATTGTCGAATGCTTTCATGGTCGGAATCACTGGGTTGCTGTGAGTTTTCCGGGCTGTATAGCCATCTTCCAGAAGCATTCTCTCCTGACGTTCCGCCTGCCTCTATGACAGGCATCCTCAGAGGTTGTGAGGTCTGTTGGAAACTAGGAAATTGGGGTTTATGGCATCAAACTACAAGAAAGGAAATTCCATCTGAACATTAGGAAGAACTTCCTGACTGTGAGAGCTGTTCAGCAGTGGAACTCTCTGCCCCGGAGTGTGGTGGAGGCTCCTTCTTTGGAGGCTTTTAAACACAGGCTGGATGGCCATCTGTCAGAGATGCTTTGACTGCAATATTCCTGCTTCTTGGCAGGGGGTTGGACTGGATGACCCATGAGGGCTCTTCCAACTCTACGATTCTATGATTCTATGTATCTGTGGAAAGCCCAGGTTGGGAGAAAGAGCTCTCATCTGTTTAAAGCAGTGGATCCCAACATTTATTTATTTTTTTACTAGGGACCACTTTGACCAGGGAACACGTTTTTTGGTCACGTTTAATTTAGTTTGGGGTGCTGAATCGGAAAATTGCATTGGATAGTCCACGTCAGCTCTAGTTTCTGATACAGAACATATGCCTTGGTCAGCGACAGGGAAGGAGTGGCAAACGGTGCGAATGGAGCGGAAATAAAATAAATAGGAAGGAGGCTCACTGATAAGATTTTGGTCCTCGTGGCTCACTGGTGGTCTGCGTCCCACAGGTTAAGAATCATTGATTTAACGGCAAGTGTGAATGTTGCAATTGGCCACCTTGATTATCATCGAATGGCCTTGCTGATTCAAACATACAATACAATAGCCCACTTGTACACAGAAAGAAAGAAAAAACAAATCAGTTCAGCCAATAATGTGACTGGTGAAGATTATTTTACAGTTCCAAAACATAGCATTCACAAAATAATATTATATGCCTTTGGGTCAGTCGCTGATTCAAAGCCTGGCTGCTTCTTTTAGGGACTCCAATTTCAACAGAAATGAGGAATGTATTGTCGAAGACTTTCATGGCCGGAATCACTGGGTTGTTGTAGGTTTTTCAGGCTATATGGCCATGGTCTAGAAGTATTCTGTCCTGACATTTCACCTGCATTTATGGCAGGCAACCTCTGAGGATGCCTGCCATAGATGCAGGCAAAACGTCAGGAGAGAATACTTCTAGAACATGGCCATAACCCCCCCCCAAAAAAAAAAAAAAAACAAAACCCTGCAACAACCCAGAAAGGAGGAAACAATGAACATGAACAAAATCTGGCTACCAGTATTTTAAAAAAACCTCTAAAATCAGGTCTGTAAATAAAAAGGAATGCTTAAACAACAGGGAGATTCCAGACAATAAATGGTCAGGGCCAGCTAACACCTCCCAACAAGGGATCCCCCCAGGCATGAAGCAGCCAGGCTTTGAAGCTGCAAGGCCCGTCAATGCTAATCAAGGTGAACAATTGTAACATTCACACTTCCCTCAAACAGACAAGAGTTCTTTCTCTCAACCTGGACAGATATATAAACCCCACTTGCCTAGTTTGCAACAGACCTTACACCTCTGAAGATGCCTGCTATAGATGTGGGCGAAATGTCAGGAGAGAATGCTCCTGGAGCATGGCCATACAGCCTAGTAAACTCACAGCAACCCAGTGATTCTGGCCATGAAAGTATCTAAGAAAAATACTGGAGAGGTTTGGGGGGAATTTACGTTGATTTATAGCCATATGTAGAAGATAGCTATGATCAAGGCAGTTTCTAGTTAGGTTCCCCTTACAGACCTTTAAATAAGAGTCCTCTGTTTCTGAAACATTTAGATACATTACACACCAGGACAAATATGTGTTAAATATGTTTATTGTAGTTGCTACTGTTGCTTTAAAAAGAAACAGTCCAGGAAAGTTGCATTCTTTTGTGTAACCAGCATGGTGTAGTGTTTTGAGCATTGGAACTGGACTCTGGAGACTAAGCTCAGCTATACAAAACTCATCCCATGTCCTTTGAGAAGTCACACTCTCTCAGCCTTAGGAAGGCAAAGGCAATTTCCCCCTGAACAAATCTTGCCAATAAAACCCTTGGATAAGTTCATAGTGGGGTCACCATAAATCAGAAACAACCTGAAGGCACACAACAACAGGCTGTACTTTACATGAGTTTCATGGTTCGATCTGACCTCTTCAATTATGTTAAAAGGGTTTGTATTTTCCAGATGTGCCCCTAAAAGACTACCTCTGCTTTAATCATTCTTCAGACTCAGAGTCATCGAGGTGTGCCTCAAAGCAGGCAGACGGCATGGACAATCCTGTGCCATTAAGGTAGAAAGCAATCTTATTCAGGTCAATAAGTCTTACTTCAGAGTAGACCTGGAAAAGGGGTGCCCTGTCAGAGCTGCAAAGTGACAACTGCTGAATGAGATCTAAAGAAATCTGGCCAATGAATCCATCCCACTCTCCTCACAATTAGCACTCAAAGGAAAGATGTTGAGAAAGGGCCTTTTCATTTGGCCAGCTACATTGACACTGATTCGATCATGTCTTTTCCCCCCACTAAGGAATGTGGAAGCTGCAAGGGAATTTCACTGGGAGAAAGAACAGGAGAAGGGTGTTCTCCCTTCCCAAATGGGTTTTGCCTCCTTCACACCAAGCACAGTAATCCCTTTATTGTGATGTCACAATCAGTTGCTATTGTGATGTCACAAAGGCAGGATTATGAGGATGGGAAGCGGTGGAGAATACATAACAGCAGAGGCAGTATGAGTGTTGCCTCATTTGTAGAATTTTGTGAGATGCTAAGGCAACAGTGTCTTTAATGTATTGGCTCTCCCATGCTTTGTCTTAGCATTTTACCTGCTTTGTTTTTCTCACAGAATAAATAAATAAATCTGTCAATGGTAGGGGAGAGAAGAAATGCCACTCAATGGCCTTTTGAGTGCTTGAGATAAAAACCTCACATCTAGATTCATAGGGTGTGTTTACAATGTAGAGGGAATGCAGTTTGATACCATTTTATCCGCCATGGCTCAGTGGTATGGAATCATGGGAGTCACAGTCTGTTAAGGTACCAGCACCACTTGTCAGAGAAGACCTACTTGACAACTTCCACAATTCCATAGCATCAAGTCATGGCAGTTAAAATGGGGCAAGCTGCAGTGTAGATGCACCCTTAACCATGTCAGAGGTACCCTTCTAGGGCCCTTTCTATATTGCCATATAATCCAGATTATTAAAGCAGATAATCCACATTATTTTCTTTGAACTGGATTATAGCAGACCACACTGTCATATAATCCAGTTCAAAGCACATAATTTGGATTTTATGTGGAAATGTAGATGGGGCCTAGGTCAGCTGTCTAGAGTTATGTGATTCTATATTGGAGAGGGAAACGGGAGAATTTGGGATCTCATTTGGGACCAGGGAATATCAAGGCAGATAATCCACAATATCTGCTTTGAACTGGGTTATCTGACTCCACACTGTCATATGATCCAGTTTAAAGCAGATAATGTGGGATTTTATCCAGCTATGTGGAAGGGGCCTTCAATGCAAAAATCCCACAATATCTGCTTTGAACTGGGGGCCCTTCCACATATCCCTATATCCTAGAATATCTAGGCAGAAAATCCCACAATATTTACTTTGAACTGGGTTATCTGAGTCCACACTCAGATAATGTGGGATGTTCTGCCTTGATATTCTAGGATATAGGGCTGCGTGGAAGGTCCCTGGGTTATCCGAGTCCACACTGCCATATATTTCAGTTCAAAGCAGAAAATGTGGGATCTTATTCAGTTATGTGGAAGGATCATTTTTTAATTCCTCCAAATAGGTTGAATGCCCCTTATAGTTTAACTTCTGGGCCATTTTCTGCTTTGAAAGGCCAATCTTGGTCCTAAAACAGCTGATGTAATCAAAATATGAAGCAGTTTTCCCATAGAGAGGTGTCTGGAGAGAGAAGGTTAAAATCCGCCCTGGGAACTGCATGTAGCTTGTGGGTGTCACTTGCCCCATACCTGGATTAGACCCACATAGGATAGAAGTTGACAGTATATGGCCTTCCAGATGTAGTTGTTGAGATTGCAATTTCCATAGTATTTGATAGGAAACAATTTGAATTTTAGTCCAATAGACTTTGAAGTCCGGCAGTAATGGGGGCAGATCCAGCAGCAGCAAATGGATTTGGCAGA